GGTGCCTCAATTAGCTGCAGACTTGACCACCAACCATATGAAAATAACGGTACACACTCAGAAAACATCACATGCGTATGAGTTAGGATAACTTCCATTGTATCTTAACTGCAACCAGTCGCCATTCTGTCCTGTAGAGTTGGTCTCCTGAAATATCAGATTGGCGAGCCCAGAGGACCACACCGATTGTCTCACATCACCACACTGAGGGGGGGGGATCTTTAAATTGAGTCAAGCTATATGGCTCCACTCTGGAAGAGTTATCGGAAAGCACGGCTTTTGTGGCATACTGGTACTCTATTGCTATTCATACTGGGATTAGTTTTATGCGCATTTACAATATGGATATTTTAAGAGGACTGTGTCTTCACGCAACGGAGTCCGTCACTATCTTCGGCCAATCTACACGGAACAAACTGAAAATATGGGGGGGGAACAAAAAAAACACCAAAAAACATCGCTCATGATGAAAGGCTTTTTGGGAACTAGAACAGGTCAAAAGTATTCAGCTGTCGTGAATATTCTTGACCAGGATCTACTGTGCCAAAATGGACCTGATTCCACGACGATGGAGATACAGCTGTGATACTCGATGGATTTACTTCCTATCGTATTGGTAGACTATGTGCATACAGGAACCGAAGTGGTAGTGTTGTCACATGGATTAGCTCTTCACGATGCTCCACTTCACAATGCATCCGTTGTTTGAACGTGAAGCTCGAACAAAGATAGTTGAAGGGATATTCTTCAGTTTTATTGGTGAACATTCATAGTTCCCATACCTACCAAAGCTCTGAATAGCTTAACTATTTCTAATACATTTTAGCTGGTGGTTTTAACAGACCTAACACCGTATCCATTACATAAAGCGACGTCCAAGCAAGTATTTAGTGGACTTAGTGTTGCAAACCCGAAAATCTTTTCTGTCGGCAATGGAACTTTGTTTTGTAACACTTTCTAGTAGCCCAATAGTACCCCGAAGGAGTAAAAAACGGAAAGGAAACAGGAAATAGCATGTTTTCCTTTGTGACCATTGAAATCAACGGAAAATCAGTAGTGTCGAAAATAGTAATAGGCTTGGAGCATAAAAAGTAAATATGATAGATGTTTGGCATGGACAAGCAAGTTTTAGTGAACTAAGTTGCCTGTCCAATTCATAGCTTCTCCATATCAGCGTGGCTGGGCCGTACGTCTGAGTTTCCCTCTCTCTCAATAGCGTGTTATCGCTACTTGTAACTGAAACATTAGCCCTAATGTGGGTCGGTGGAGGCCAGCTTATCAGTTCGAATATGCGTAGATGTGGACGACCCTCGCAGTTTCCTTAGCCCGCGCGCCATAAGTGGTAGTCGGGTGGCATCGAAACCTTGGTACGACGTACCGGTATCTTTGTGCTCCAGGAATCTCCAATCATGCCATCGTAAAGCTATCTCTTGCCGTCCACGGCAAAACGAACCAAACAGATGTTACTCGTTGCAAAGATTGCAAGTTCAGGAAGAGATGATGCTTTCTTCGGAACAGCTGGTGGCCAAGGAATAACACCACGTCTATAGACTTTCTATGGTACAAACACATCAAGTAGTTGACTAGTTATCAAAATGTATGCCTCGATATTTATTCCCCAGTGGAAATTAGTTTTCTCTGGCAAAGAGGTTCTCCGCAAAGGCAAAAAAGAATAATTACAAGCAGACTTTGTCTCAGTAAAGTCTCCATAGACTGGTGCAAAAATCCAATTGTGTCAGCACAACCACATGTACAGCACAAACCATAGTAGGAAACAATAATTACAGAGAAATACGGGTGTTAAAAAACTAAATGAAGTTGCTTACAGTGCCAAACGTACTGCTTTGGCTGTAGGAAAGTCAAGCTTTAGTTATTGTGACCGGAACACTGCTTCAGCCTCTGGCGTGTCGTCCACTTAGTTACAACGTCACACAGATAACGCTGGTCTGTCTTCGAATATGTTGGTTCGAAGCTGAAATCAACTCATACCCGGACATTGCGAGGTAGACTTAGTAGTTGAACGTGGAGCAGCGCAGCACATATACCAGCCGACTCGAATAACGCCGCGTTCAACTCTGCCGAGTCTAGACTTGTGTTAACAATATGTGAATAACATGTGTATAACGTTCAGGTACCAGCGGCAAGCGATCGCTAAATGCTCTTAGCTAGTATTCCCGTCCGCTGGAACCATCTTAGAACTACTGGAAAACTACTACGGTCCAACACATGCCGCGAGCCAAGCAGATTGGTCCTTGCCGCAAGTCGCATCTGTAAAAGACGGTTGGACAGTTAGTAGAGAGGGAGTGACGTGACTATGTGCACAGTTTGTACCATTGAAGTGTTGAAAAGTTGGACTTGTCAAGCCGCATTGGGGCGAAAAGGAGTATGGTAAAATGTCTTGGCGGCGGCGCAAATTGTGAGATACATTACCCCACTCTAGCTCTTTCAGTGATTACGAAGCGTATGAGGCAGTGAAATATTTGCAATAGTGCAAAAACGAGCAAGCGTCGGCATTTTTAAAAGCAGCTCGCTACCGCCGCATAGAACGCTCTGAAAAGAATATTTGCTTATATGAAGCGGTGTCCCAAGCCACCAGGTGATCTGCCAGTGTTAAAAGGATAGGACGGACAGCCCCTAACTTCCAGCATTGAACGTGCGTCCGCCTTGGGGACGCACTTCGCTTCTGTGTTTGCAAATGACCAGGTGTCTTTACCGAGTTCGATGTGTACCACGCTTACCGATCTCGACAGTGTTGATGAGGTGCATCAACTACCTGCCAATCTTGACGATACCAAACCTGCTGGACCTGACGGACTCCACACATTGATTTTCTAGTCCCTATCGGCCATCATCTCTCCCGCTGTGAATAACTTGTTCAACAGAGCACTATCCGAAGGTTTATTGCCGAGCGACTGGAGAGGCTTAGTGATTAAACCGACTCCGAAGGACGGAGACTGCAGCTAAAGTGGACCAGTACAGGCCGATTTGTTCGACATTTATTTTGGCCATGATTGCAGAGAAGTTGAAGAGGAGTTTACCACAGCTGCTCCATACAAAAGATTTAATAACATCCGCTCATGCATTATCAACCTGCTGGTGACAATGCATGAATGGTTGCAGGCGGTGAATCTGGGGAAGTCTGTCGAGGTAATCTACATCGATTTCAGTAAAGTGTTCGACAAAGTAAACCATGAGGTCCTTTTCCACAAGCTGAGAGTATCCGGTGTTGGCGGACCACAGCACCAGTGGATCCAGGGCGAAAGTGGAGAATACAGGTCGACAGCCATCTAACTGACTGGTACCCCTATACTATTGGAGTACTCTAAGGCACGGTGCTGAGAACCACTCAGTACCTAATTCACATCAACGATCTACCTCAGTATCTTCGATCGTCGTGTGCCCTGTCTGAAGACGAACTGAAGACTTGGAGAGTGATTAGCATCCCAGATAACTACAGTCCACTTCAGAAAGACCTCAACCGCCTCTCCATGCGGTCTGGGGAAATCCGCCTCCCGGTTAGCCCATGCAAGCCCGTATTCATGAGTCTGGGGAAGTGGTAACGGCGGAATTTACACCATTGACAGCCAACCCATACATCCCACACCTACCGTAAAGAACCTAGGTGTACTCTCGCGCTGCGATTTGAAGTCAGTTGACAACACAAACAAAGGGACGGCGCATGCTTTGGGCAATCAAACGGAGCTTCTCTACTTGGTTTGAAGAGATCGCCACTCGCCTCTTCTATTCCAACACAAGGCCAAGACTAGAATACGGCCCACTTGCCTACTGACCAATCACCCGAAACGAGGCATAGAAGATCGGACGGATCAAACAAGTCGCTACCAGGCTCATTCCAAGTTTACGGGGATTACTGTACGAAGACCGGTGCGAGAACCTGACTCTACACCTTGTCCTATCATAGGGTGCGAGTCGATTCCATCGTGATCTACCGTATATTACAACTCCGTGACTTTCATATAGTAAAACCGCTGCTTCAATTGCGAACGTCATGCAACACACGTGGATACTGGTACAAGCTTGTGGTGACGGATATAAAATTATTACCCCAACCCTGTGCTACGAACGGAGGGTGGTAAATATTTGGAAGAGTCTATCAGAACTAATCGTGGAGGCCGAATCTGTAAAGCAGTTCAAAATGGTGTTGGATTTAAATTTCACCACAATTCGATTCTGAGAACGACTGCACACTAGCTATGACACCAAGTACTTGTGAACCCAGTGAAAGTGTCAGACATTTTAAAATACTACATAAGAACTTAAAGAACGATCGGATTATCAGGAATTGCAGATACTTTTATAACATTGTATTATGTTGCGACAGAGTTGTAGAGATCCAAATCTCTACTTGTTCCCCCCTACAGTACAGTGTACAGTAGTAAGATGACCTAGCAGTACATAAAGAATCAACCCACTATAATGGCGTCAAGCACCCGGTCCGTAGGAGCTTTCTCCTATCGTTCTCAAGTAATGCGCTAAATCCTCGGTACAGTTTGTCACTGACTTGTACAAATTATGTGTAACGTATAACCAGACAGCTAACTGTTAGACGAAAGCTGAAAGCACGACGGTGGCGACAAAAGGAACTTGCAAATACCGCCTCAATGCTTGTATTGAGGTTGCTCAAAAACGTTCGGATGCACCTTAGTAGTTCACCAGCTGCAGTACAAGGTAAACCTTAAATGTTGCAGTCTAGTTTACACATTCCGTGCTTCTAAGGGTGAATAACAAAATCAAGTCTCTATGCATCTGCTTCGCTGATCATAACAGTGTCTTCTTTTGTCTGAACCTTGAGCTGCTGTCCTGCAGTTTTCTTCGTTGTGAAGCTAAACCCTCAGTCCGATTGCTCGTACATAGGTGAAAGACGATACCCACTCAGTGAAGCAAGGTGGGGGAGTGAGAAATGGAAGGACCATGCAACGCAAACGAGTGAAATGGGAGGAATGAGTATCTAAAGGGTAGATTGCATCGGTGAAACTTACGCTCCACAAAACAGCAAGGAGTTTTCATCTGTGTGGTGGCTACCAACTAACCGATAGTAGTTGAAAATTCGTAGGCGAAAGACGGCGAAAAACACGGCGAAGCTCAGGTATCCAAGTATCAAGAATGAGCAAATCTAAAATCATAAAAAAGGATGGGATTAGGAGTGTTGACGCAGAAAGTATTACATCAAGGGAGAGGTCACATAAATCTTCGCCTCGTAGCCTTGCGGATAGGCCAGTCAGTCAAATGCTCGAGGTGGTGTCCCCAAGTCAACTCCGTACTTTGGTTTAGGCAACCGCGTAGTGTCGTGCCCTCTGAAAAAACCATGGGTTACTCTGCGTGGTATTCGATTTTCTGCTGAAGGTAATTCTACCACGTTGAATTTCCATGGTATTGGTGGCTAGTTGAATCGTTAGGTTCGTTATGAGAATTGCGAAATCACGCCCTAGTAATCGGACCCAGCAACCCCACCCATTGGTGGGACCACATGGGATGTTGCGGTTGCTACATCATGATCATTGAACCCCCAAATGGATAGAGAGGAGGCGATGAACTGAGACAATGGCCCAAATTCGTGCTTGCTCTGTCATCTATAAAGTGCAGCTTTAATAGGGACAGAAAGGAAATGTGGTGAAGCAGTAATCATAACACGCTTTTCCCCCTTTATGTTAGAATCGATTATTGTCTCACCAGCCGTGACAAACTTATTCAATAAATCACTCTCTGAAGGATCTGTCTCCAACGACTGGAAATGCTCAAAAATGAGATCGCATCCCAAGGATGGTGATCCGAGTAAAGTAGAGAACTATAGACCGATCTGTTTGACTTCGATATTATCCAAAGTTATCGAGGTTGTGAAAAAGTGTCTGCTGTCGTCCTTCGATCCGATTGATGTATTGACGCCAGCGCAACACGGTTTTACGAAAGGGCGATTCTGCATCACCAACTTGTTGTACGCAAACCACCAGTGCGTAAGCGCTCTCAACGAACGAAAGGATGCTGACGTGATGTACATCGACTTTAGTAAGGCGTTTGACAGAGTGAACCACAAGGTATTCTTTCGTAAACGGAGGACCTACGGAACCGGTGGCACGCTACTCCAGTGGTTACACGAGTTGTGGAACTGGTTCCCATCGATCAGTGGTGTGCCTCAAGGAACTGTACTTGGGCCAGTATTATTTCTTATTCATATCAATGATCTTCCGCAGCAGCTCCAGTCACCATGTGCCCTGTCTGCAGATGATTTGAAAAGCTGGATGATCATTGAGAACCAGGACGACCGCGCTCGCCTCCAGCATGACTTAAAACGACTGTCAACGTGGCCCACTGAAATGCAACTCCCTCTTAACGCAAGCAAATCGGAGTTCATCAGTATCACCAGACGTCCAGCCACTCGACCATACACCTTACACGGCCAGCTGCTCCACCCTAATACATCTGTCAAAGACTTAGGAGTGCTCTCGCGACATGATATGAGATCTGTAGAAAGTAAAGAGCAATTGTACAATGTGGGACTTCATATGTTCTGGGCATTAATACGCAGTTTCTCCATATGGTCCGAAGAAACCGTCCCTCGTCTATTCACCTCGCTCATTAGACCAACCTTTGAATACGGTGCCCCAGCTTACCATCCGATAACCCAGTGGGAAACTGAAAATACAGCATATAGCAACAAGAATGATACCGAGGCTACGAAAACTTCCGTATGAAAAACGTTATGAAAGGCTTGGACTCTATACACTATTCTACCGCCGAGTAAGGATTGATCTTATTATGACCCATCGAATAGAACACTTGAATCACTTCCCCATACTGCGGCCAATATTTCACCTGCGGGAACCCTGTAACACTCGACGACACCGTTACAAATTCAGAGTCTCCTGCATGAACAAGTTATCCCATCAGCTTTGTATAGAACGAAGAATCATAAACTTATGGAATACACTACCAGAAGAGGCCAGTTCTGTGTTTTAAAACAGGTACTGAGGATTATTTCGGAAACATGTATCTCTGTGAAAAGGTGCACATACAATGCCAAAAGAAGACATCGCATGCCCGGAAATAATGACACCAATACGAATTCCAAACCGAACAAGGATAAACGATTAATTGACCAAAGACTACCGCTGACGAATAGAAATTAAATGTTTTGATTTTTCCGAATTCGATAGAGGTGTATAGAAACCTTTCTAGTTATTCTTAAATACAGTCTCAAAATCAGTGGTGCTTAATAGGAAGAGATCACGGGAGCTAAAAGAAAGCTGGCATATTGAATTCGCTGTCATGTCTTCCGTTCTGTAATGTGATATATATATATATATATATATATATATATATATATCATGCACCCACGGAGTGGTCACGCTTACCTGCTCGACTATGTCATCGTACGTCAGCGTGATATGCATGAAGTGCACATGACACGTGTACTGCGTGGAGCTGAGTGTGGAACTGATCACAAGTTGGTGCGGACAAACTGTACATATATTTTCGTAAATCAATGTATTACACTCCCGCCGTGAATCGGCGTAAATTTAACATTCTCTCCCTCGGTACTGTGGCGAAACGTACTGAGCTGGAGAAGGCGATGGCTGCACGCCTGTGTGATGTGGACTGCATAGCCACAGTACGCGACCTGCGGCACCACATTCGCGATCACGCGACAACTGCTGCCGAGAAGACCATCAGGCGCGCAAACTGTAAGCGGCCTGATTGGTTTGATGACAACAATGTGACGATTGACGCATTGGTGTCGAAGAAGAATGCAGCATTTGCTGCACATGTTGCAGACCCCAGTGACTTGGGGAAGAGTAGTCAGTTTCGCAAACTTCGACGGCGACTGACCCGAGAGCTCCGTCGCATTAACAATGCATGGACGGAGCAGGCGAAGAAGATGGAATGCTACGCCGAACGCCGCAAGCACAACGAATTCTTTGACTCCTTGAAGGCGGTGTATGGACCGAGGTTGGAGCCGCTGAGGACACTGATCGATGGTAGTTCAGGCGCTACCTGCACACAGACTGCAGACATAATGCAGATCTGGCGGAAACACTTCGATTGTCTCTTGAACAACCGTTCAGAGATCGACTGGCCTACATTGAACGGCCTCAAGCAGCACGATGTGAAGGCGGATCTGGCGGATACGCCGAAACTGGATGAGACGCAGAGGGCACTTGCTCAGCTGCGAAACGGCAAATGTGCCGGAGGTGACGGGATCCCACCTGAAGTATTGAAACACGGTGGACCCGCGTTGTTGACTGCGCTGCACCACTTGGTGCAACGCGTGCGGATTGAGGAGGAGGTGCCTCCTCAGCTGAAGGATGCCCTTGTGCCACCACTGTACAAGGGCAAACGTAGCAAGCAATGTTGCACGAATTATCGTGACATCAACTTGCTGAGTTGTGTGGGCAAGGTGATTACCTGAATCCTGCTCAACCGCCTCATCAGCCAGATTGTGGAACCGAACGTGGCGGAAGAGCAGTGTGGATTCCGTTCGGGTCGCAGCACTATAGATATGGTGTTTGCGGCTCGTCAGTTGCAAGAGAAGTGCAGAGAACGACACCAGCCATTGTACTCGCTTTTTGTTGATTTCACCAGGGCATTTGATACGGTGAACCGAGAGGCATTGTGGCTGGTGTTGGGTAAGTTTGGTTGCCCGCGTATTTTTGTAAGTTTAATTGAATGTCTGCACAGTGGTATGCGGGCGAGGGTGCAGCTGAGTGGAGAGACCTCGGATGACTTTGTAGTTACCTGTGATGTGAAGCAAGCTCTGTCTCAGCTCCTACCCTGTTTAATATATATCTTTATGCAACGTTGTCTTGTGCTTTTGATGCGGCTTGTGCTTACGGTGTTCGTGTGGAGCACCGTATTGATAGTGGGTTGCTGAACATCCGTCGTTTCGGTGCGAAAACTCTAGTCTGTGAGACAACTACCCGTATGTTGTTGTTTGCTGACGACTGTGCGTTGTTTGCACACAGCGCGGATGAGTTGCGGCACATGACTAGTGCTCTGGCTTCGACAGCTGCCAAATTCGGGCTCACCATCAACACAAGCAAAACTCTCTGTCTCTTTCAGCCTTCACCGGAGGTGCAATCTTCAATATTGGCGCGAATCAGCATTTGTTATGAAGTATTGGAAACCACCTCCCGTTTCAGTGTGATTTCGACTGATCAGCAGCTACACAGTGAGCTGCGTATTCGCGTGTCGAAGGCAGCGGCAGCATTCGGGAAGCTTGAGTACCGAGTGTGGAACAACCATCAGCTTACCATTGGCACGAAGCTGATGGTGTACAAATCCATGGTACTGTCCGTTCTTCTATACGGCAGTGAAACGTGGACGATGTACCGTCAGGATGTACGATATCTCGAGCGGTTCCATCAGCAGTGTCTGCGACGAATTTTGCGGATGGGCTGGGGCGACAGAGTTGCAGACACGGAAGTTTTGCGCCGAAGTGGGATGTATGCAGTGGACTGCATACTTTTATTGAGACACCTGAGATGGCTCGGTCATGTGAGCCGTATGGATTCGACGCGGATACCGAAACAACTCTTATACGGTCAGCTGAGTATAGGGAAGCGGCACGTGGGGAAACCAAAGTTACGTTACCAGGACATGATTAAAGTGAGCCTCACACGTTCTAACCTTGATTGCAGATCATGGGAATCGAAGGCGGTTGATCTTGGTGCATGGCGCGATCTAATCATGAAGGCAGTTGCTGAAGTGCGGGAGAAAGCCCTCATGCATGCAGAGAAGAAGCGGCAAGTACGGAAGCGGCAAGCACCGATGAATTGTACTCCATCGACATCAAGCGCATGGTGCTGTAGAACATGCGGTCGCGAGTGCCTTAGTCAGGCAGGCTTAGTGAGCCATGAGCGAGGCCACTCGGGACTACTACCGAAGCGACGACGGGTTCTGCAGAGAACATAAGCAGAACCGGCGCAGCGTTTGTAGGTACGCTGCATTCGATTTACTAACCGCGTGCTTGCATGCTAAGTCTCTTTGTTACAGGTGGTGGGTTTTCAATTTTGCCTTAATGCTATTCTTTCTCATATAAATGTCTACCTGTACTCTATTCCATTAACTTGCACACCTCTATTAAGCCAATTGTATTCGATTTCCATAACAATTTTGTGTTCGTGGCATTTCCGTATAGTATACTTTCTCACCTCGTGAACTTATCTAGGATTCGTTTGTAAACAACTTATTTCATATGCTCATTAACTTAAGGTTTATGTCACCGTTTCCGTATGCATCAATCGAGTTATTTTCTTTCTTTCTCTCTCTCTCTCTCTAAGTGTTTGGCTGTTGTTTGATATCCCCGGTGTGGCTGCGCTTGATGTGCATGTTGACAAGGTGCCTACCTGTCTATTACCCACAACCTCGTCCATACTGGCTACAGGAGACAGTTGGTCGTTGCTGGAGGGGACAGGGTGCACGGTCCTGGTGGCCGTGTTAGGATCAAAGAGTGGTTCCATGCACTCAGTGTGGAGCGGACTACGGTCCAGCCACCGCCATGTGTGCGCTTGATTCCCAAATACAGTGTGCTTGTGTTTGCCTGTGAAGGAGTGTGGGCCGGCTCCGTTGATGAAACGTGGCTCCCATCCACATGCCTCCCGGTCTTATTCCTTTGGGTTTACACTGGATATGGGGTGTGTGGTTGTAGCTCTGGGTGGTGCAGCGCAAGTCATCCATGGTCCCTCTGTAGGCGCAGGCGTCCTGTGGCTTGCCACAGTGACAGGCAAATCCGAAACCGGATGCCGCCAACCATATATATATATATATATATATATATATATATATATATATATATATATATATATATATATAAGCTAACCTAATGCTGAAATTGCATTGTACATTGGGTTTTAGATCGTTGTTGGAGGGGGAAGCTAAACAGGAGAGGTGAGACAAAAAGACTCACAACGCAAACACCATTGAGATCGACTCTTCGCCATGTCAGACGGTATATCCAAACAAACGTTTTCATCATCTTTTGGTCTTCAGCCCAGCTTTTGGGAAGCACCACCGACGCCAAGTTCTAAGTGTGGGAATATCCAATACACGCACGCACGCACGCACGCACGCACGCACGCACGCACACACGCACACACGCACACACGCACGCACACACGCACACACGCATATATATATATATATATATATATATATATATATATATATATATATGCGTGTGTGCGTGTGTCCGTGCGTGCGTGCGTGCGTGCGTGCGTGCGTGCGTGCGTGCGTGCGTGCGTGCGTGTATTGGATATTCCCACACTTAGAACTTGGCGTCGGTGGTGCTTCCCAAAAGCTGGGCTGAGGACCAAAAGATGATGAAAACGTTTGTTTGGATATACCGTCTGACATGGCGAAGAGTCGATCTCAATGGTGTTTGCGTTGTGAGTCTTTTTGTCTCACCTCTCCTGTTTAGCTTCCCCCTCCAACAACGATCTAAAACCCAATGTACAATGCAATTTCAGCATTAGGTTAGCTTTTTAGCTTTTGTAGTCTGTAGTGCTTAATGTCTTATCTTTTTTTGCATTGCGCCACATTAACTGAGGTGGGTTTCTCACCGACTAACGTGTACTGATGATGATAATGATGATAGGTGGGTTAATGCCAGTTGATCAGCTAACCGACTTAACAGAACCACTTATAAAGAGCTATACCTTATATGGTCATAAAAAATAAATCACTACAATCATAATCATAATAGTTGTAAAAATGAGTGGAATGGTCGTTACAAGGGCTCACCTCCAGTAAGTAAAAGTCCTGTGCCTTGGCCTCCGCTTTTAACACTAGTGCAACTAGGGACAGTGTCGGCGATCGTATTGAAAATGTGCATTCACTCCATATCAGGAAGATGGAGGCGAAAGTCAAAAGAACGGCAAGTAACTGAAGTGACCACAAGCGTAGGTAGCAGAACCAATACCGATGGATCTGAAAGAATAGTTGGGCGAAACGGGACGCAGAGCTGCCCGGCACACTACCCTGTGTAGCTGACGGGGGGAATCTGGAGGACAAAGGAGCATTCGAATGAGGAATTAGTAGAAATACTAAAAAATAAAAGAATAAGTCGGAACCGAAAGAGACTCACCGCTTTGAACGGAACTCATTCATGTCCTCCATACGTAAGGCTGCATACACGGCTTCTTCATAAAGTGCTTGGGCTCGTCCCCATCTGTATTGCGTAGTCTTTAACGACTTGTGGAGGCGAACCAACTGCTTCAGATTTAATGATCCACAATCGATCGATTTGCGCAATCGTTCATCTATGTCCGTCATCAAGAAGGACTGCTCTAACGCAGAATATGATAAGCTGATTGTTTGTGAATCATGGGCCTAGATGTCAAAAGGTAAGATAGCCAAGTAGTTCCAAAAGTAATAATTCAAACAGGTTGATAACAAATTCGAGGAGAAGGGAGTGGACTAGATGGGTTATATAGTGTGATACAATAATACTTAGTAGCAGGCCAAGTTAAGTCAGATCAGGAATGCACTGTGTTCTCCCAGTGATAAGGTTTCCAGTGGCGGAAACAAAGGAAAATTATTACGTGCCAAGGGAGCCAAAGCACCAGTCTTAGAATCATCATCAGGAAAGAAATCAGTATTCAAATTCACCAATCCAACTTTAATGGCAAGTACATGGTCCCAAAAAGTGCTTAATAAGGTCTATGAATGAACATATAAAGTTTGGTACTTTATGCCGACCAAGGAAGTGGACATAAGTAGGCGTAAGACGATACGGAGTGACTGAGTGACATCAGCATTGTTGTGGTAGGCTTTACGCAGAAAGTAACGTGATTAGGTACCATGATGTTCACAAAAGTCTGCTTCAGAGCGCTGCTGCACCAAAATGGATGTTTCAGTTACCTGATAATGGTTTTAAAATGTCTACCCAGGACAACCTTAGGTAAACAGCATATCCAGTGGGGCAAAACGCACGCGGTGGTCTCAAACGAGAAAAATGACGGTTTTGACTTCGAGCATACATCATACACATGAAATGATCAAGTTGAGTGTGGTGGCGTGGTGTGACTCCCGGATACCTCATTGACATGGATGAATGTAAGTCTTCACAACTAAAGTGAAATTGAGAGCATTTTGTGAGTTGTCAGTAAAGAAATCCTTCAAACGATGAAAAAAGAATGGTATAGAATTTTGACGTATACAGGTACATGCGATGAAATTTGGAGCGTAGTGCGAAATTGCTCTGATAGCCTCGTGGCATGACCGAAGAGAACACAGTTAGCCATAGTATTGAAGACTGGCAGCACAGTTTGTTCAGATGGCGGTTGAAATGTTCGCTGAGCATGGCAATTTTGTTGCAAACGTTTCGTCACCAATCGAGGTGACGTCATCAGTGCGTAGTTGAGTGGAATGCAGTAGTGTAGAGGAGCCTCCTCTACGCTACTCTACACTACTACATGCCACTCAACTACGCATTGATGACGTCACCACGATTGGTGACGAAACGTTTGCATTAAGATTGTTAAGCTCAGCGAACAGTTCAATCGCCATCAGAACACGGTTGGGTGATCAACACCACATGACCGGAATAAAGAGGTACGACTGGAACCGTAAAAGCCGGAAAAATCGGTTTCAATGGGTGCATATGTAAAACAGAGTCGTATTCAATCTCAAGAAGGCTGAGATAGATGAAAAATCGATTTCATGGTGAATCAAGACATGGTAACAAACAAATGATTCAATAAGTAGCTGATTGTTCCCCTCCGATACCCTCCCAAAGTGGAGGGTTGGTTTAAACATACAATTACTGAATTGAAGCAAATGTAATTAACATGTGCCATCTGACGAAGAGCATTGTTTAAGACATTGCAATACGGAAAGTAGAACTAACCCAAGCTGCGTTACTATGTAATGGACGTGGTGTGCTACAGAAACGTGTATACATAATGGTATACTTCTCCAGTCCTTCACTGTCAAATGATGTTGACTGTGTGTTTCGATGTCGAGACGAAGCCAACGGCGAATTCTGTCGTTTTAATCCTTCGTCTGCCCAGCCTTGACACGGACTCTGTAGCCAATTGCAAAACTCCAGTTATCTTGCGGTCATATTTTGAAGCAAAGGCTATGATCGAGAACACCAATCGTTCTCCCGTCCAAGCCTAGGCAACCTGATAGTAGTCTAAATAAATAAATGGTATATTTCTCAAAGATGCGATACACAGACTAACTGCGTCGTCTGGTCATTATTTACATAATCGGATTATAGAGAAAAAATTTTGAGATTTACGAATTAGGTCCCATAGAAGCTTTTGCGGTGTACATTTATGTAAAAGTAACAAAAATAAAGACAGTGGAACAGAGGAACAAATGTATGCATAGCAGTACAGCGGTACAGTAAAATCCTAACATTTTCTTGATGTTCTGGCCGTCGTAGAGGTCAAGCAACAATGCCCTGTCTACTGCGTCCTCCAGGGTGGATAGGCGTGCAGATGATAATGTTCAAAGCTTCGCGTCTTCGTCTTTTCTTGATATGCCTTCTTATTATTAACGTTTCGTGCAAACTTCCATCAGATCTCTTCTCTTTTCAAACACCCAATCCTTGGGTACCTTCATCTTGCTTTGGCACGTGGTTGCCTTCGACGTGCAAATCAAATGAAATCGCACGGCGTCATTGCAGTTCAGTCGGAGGTTCATATTCAAGCAAGCGGACAACAGCTCATTCGCTTATGACGCCCCGATCATCGCCGAGACTAGCATGTCCCAAGGGACGCATTTTGTTGTAGATGGTCAATACAATTAGACTCTCTCGATAGATGTCTATTGCTTAACCCGCCTGTAAGACTCAGGCTCTGCGCTAGCTCCGCGATTGTGTTCTTGTGAAATTGGCAGTTATTTCTCACCGCCTTTTCGCGGACGTCCACAACGATGTTGAGAGCGCATTGACACCAGCCAACTCGCCAAGCCAGTTGTTCTGAATGACTATCCAAGTATGCTTTCATGCGAGTTGGATAAACGCTCACTGGATGCAGTTGAAGCTCACTGGTCTCATACTCACCATACCTTACTAGCAGCAGGAAAATCCTCATGTGGTATGTCTAACCACCAACATGGACATTGGGTCTCTTCGCAGTCTCTGGAACTTATCGATGCTCACCGACATACTCCGGCTGGAAGCGAACAAAATAAAACCCGCAAAGAGCTCCGGGCAAAACTCCGTGCTAGCCTGAAGAGAGACCGCGAATCCTAGTGGTCTCATCGTGCTTCAGAGATGGAAATGTTCGCAGCCCTTGGTAACCATCGTAAGTTATTCCGGCTGATACGGGAATCGGGAAACAGGAGACCTGGTGTTCGTGAAACTATAGGTTACAAGAGTGGACAGTCTACCCACAACTTGTCAAAACGTTTGGAGCGTCGGGCTGAGCACTTTGAAAGGCAATTTAATTGTTCGAAATTGTTAGCTTTCTCGCCAGCCACTGATCGCCCCGCTCCGTGGGCAGTCCCTTTGGATTCACCCTCTCGCTCAGAAGTCGAAGGTGAGATCGGACTGTAGAAGTTAAATAAAGCCGCGGGACCAGATGATCTTCATCGAGCTCTCTTCGAATTCGGGGGACCTGCTCTTGTGGATGATTTATATGAGATACTAGTGAAAATTTGGGAGCAGGAAACTGTCCCAACCGACTGGAGCCGCTACGTCATAGTCCCAATTTTCAAGGAAGGCTCATGATCGGAATGTGACAACCATTGGGGAATCAGTCTGATCTTCATCGCCTCCAAACTGCTTGCCTCTGTCATCCTTCACAAATTGGCTAGCACTCGTGAAAGCAAGATTCGTGAAGAGCGAGCCGGGTTTCGTCAAGGTCGTGGTTGCATTGACCACATTTTCACATTGCATCAGTTGTTGGAGAGCTGTCACATATATTGGCGGCCCACCGTTGTCGTGTTCCTCGAAATCAAAGGTGCATTCGATTCGATGGATAGACGCGCACATTGGGACTGTCTACTCAAGAAAGGCGTAACTGAGAAATATGTAAATATTATCCGAGCATTATAGGCGCACAGCTCAGGCAGAGTGAGGGCTTACGGAAAGCTATCATCGCACTTTAATATCTCCAGCGGTGTGAGACAAGGATGCCCACTGTCACCTTTCCTCCTCAACTTCGCTATTGACGAAGTAATAGAAATCGCGTTCACAGGACACGATTTTGAAGGTGTGGATCTACTCCCAGGAGAATGACTACTTGACTTGGAGTATGCCGACGATATTGTCCTAATCTGTGACAGCTCAAAAAACGTGCGAAGCGGCACTGGACAGATTAGCACTAGCTGTCCGTCACTTCGGGCTTCGCTTCGCACCATCGAAGAGCAAACCGTTTATCCAACTTTGGCCTGGACCGCCTCTATCGCTGACCCTTGGCGGCGATCAGTTAGAAATCGTTCAAAAATTCAACTACCTACAAAGTTGTATCAGCGCCCGTGGGATTGAAAATGAGATCATGGACCGTATAGCAAAAGTTCGAGGCGCTTTTGCGAACCTTTGCCACTTATGGTGCAGGCGCGACATCATTCTCGCTCTGAAGGGTAGAGTGTACAATGCAGCGGTACGTTCGACCCTACTGTACGGTTTGGAAACCTGGCCCCTTAGATCAGCGGAAATAAAGAGGATAGTTACGTTCGACCACCAGTGCCTTCGCAATTTAGCTCATATCTAGTGGGAACACCGCGTGAGCAACGAGCGCGTTCGACGCCTTGTTTACGGCACAGGAAAAGGAAATGAATGCTCAGCACCGCCATTTCACGCACCAGGCTTCCGATGGCTCGACCACGTGTTACGCATACCAGCCCACCGACACCTGCGAGGTGCGTTGTTTTCTCACCATGGGTGTGGACGTAAGAAAAGGAGAAGTAGCCAAGCGATGACTTGGTCGAAAGGAACGAAGGCCCTCATTGCGAAGCTGACCTCGGTTGCAGCGTCTCGGCTCCCTGGTTAGGGTATAAAAAAATGATGAACACGTTTGGCTTGATACACTTGTTGACATGGCTAGGATCCCACCTCAGTTGCGTTCGTGCTGTGAGTTTCATTGTCCCCGCCAATCCCTCTTAGCCTCCCCCTCCAACCACGTTCTCACTATATAGCCTTACATACTTTTGCATAGAAATTTCTTTGCTGCATAGTAGTCGGCTGGTAGCTAACCGGTAGCTGGTAGCTTACCGTTCCCGGTAGCTTAGCTGGCATGCACCTGTTGCATGTTCCTTTCCTTCTGTTATGTATTGCTGCACAGTAACTGAGGTGTTTTCCACCTCTATCTAACGTGTGTAATGATGATGATACGTATATCCGGAGATAACAAGGCTTCGGATACTGAGCCAGCCGGTGCAGGTATAGGTGTGGGCCCAACAGCTGAAGATGGTCGGTTAGACTGCATCCGAATCAGTAGCCCGATGTGTGCCGTCAAATCGGTTGGCACGTGCAAATCTTTTAAGTTACGAGGGTGCATATTTTTCAATACTGCCTATGCTCACACAAACTGTATCCCTGACATGGTGAATGACGATATCTACTGTAGACTGAACGAGTTCCTTCATCAAAGAAAAAAGTGCGGATATTTAGTGTTGGCAGGTGATGGGAACGCTCAACTTAGAAAAATGTAAGATGATGAGCTTCATCTCAGCGGCCAACATGATGTAGGCCGCCGAAATGATAACAATGAGCGTCGGCTGCACATGCGTTAAGAGGCGCATCTAGTCTTCAAGTACATGCATCACCCGCCAAAAAGTGACATGGCGTCTATCAGCATCGAACTAGTCATGAACACAAATCAATCATATCGCGATCAGTTAGCGTCAGAAAGGCTGCGAAAAATACTGTCGCTCGATTTGGAGCATAACTGTGAAGTCAGACCATGCGAACCTGAGGATGCGTTTCGGCTGATGGCCGCGACGACGCAGTGAGCGCGTAGACCCCCAGATAACTGGCGAAAACAGATGCCCTATATGCGTATCATGGTAAGCTCGCATCCAAGCTACGTAAACGCTCAGTGAGTCCAGCTGACGATCATTAAGCGTATGTTCGCCACACATTATTGGCTGCAAACATGATTTCATGTGGCAAGTCTAACTGCCAGCCTGATGCTTCCGGATGCTTATCGATACATTCCGGCTTGGAGCCAACACAACGAAATTTGCAGAGACCACAGGGCAAAACTGGGTACTATCATGAAGAGAGATTGCAAAGCCTGGTGACCCCATTGTGCGTCGGATATAAATGGTTGCCGCCCTTGGCAACCATCGGAAGTTATTGCGCCAGATACGCGAAACAGGCAGTAGGAGAACCGGTGTCAGCGAGACGATACGCGACGAGAGTGGACATCATATCCGCAACTTGTCAAAACGCTTGGGATGTTGGGCTGAGGACTACGGAACACAATCTACTCGAACGGAACGACCAATTTCGTTCCCAGCCAGTGATCCGGCTGTGCCATGCGCCGTCCCTCTAAGTCCACCAGCTCACTCGGAGGTCGGAAGAAGGATAGGAATGCTAAAGGTGAAAAGGGCCACTGGATTTGATGAACTTTCTCCGGCCCGCTTCAAATTCATTGGCCTAGATCTTGTGGGCAATTGGTAAGATTTATTGTCGAAATTGTGGGAGCAGGAAACTGTCCCAACCGATTAGAGCTAATCTGGTTGGCAGTCTTCTTCAGGGTGCGTCAACCATAAAGGCATCAGTTTGATCTCTATCACCATATAGATACCCCTGTTGTTCTTCACAGATGGACAGGAGTCCGTGAAAGCCAGGCTAACGAAGAGTAAGTCGAGTTTCGACGTAAACAAGATTGCATTGATCACATCTTCACTTTAGGTGAATTGTTGCAGCACCGTCATTTATAATGGCGACAAACACTAATCTACTACTTCGGCAACAAAGATGTCTTCGATTCGGTATATCGATGTGCCAGTTGGGACTGTATGTTTAGGAAAGGTATGTTTGATAAATAGGTAAACGTCATGAGAACGCTGTACGCTCATAATGACAAACTGTCGCCCTCTTCAATTTCTAAATTGGTATACACAATAGGAGTTGGCACCGACTGTTTGAGATTGCTTCAGTAAGGGTAGTGGTAATCTTTGGGTTCGGTTGGTGATGGCTAAGCTGGCGCTATGGAAAGTACTCTGTGAGGCATAGGTCAAACGTCCGGTAATTCTAAGTGTAAAAAGAACATCCGTAAATGGACAATAAGTCCCGCAGTCCAATGATTCAGCTACGCTTCTCGACAAATAGCCGACGGTAGACATTTAGCATAAGCTTGCTGGTTATCGGCCTCAGTTCGTCAGCCAGACAGGCAATGGAAAAAGCGCTTGGTACCATTTGGTATTTCAAAAGCGTCTGCTTGTACTGTATTGGTGCAAAGCTAGTGAAATGCATGTACTAGACGGACCACGTTGCTACTCCGTAAACGAACCTTTCAGTCTGTTTGTCTTCTTGGTAACTGATGAGGGCATCCAAATAAGGGAGAGAATTCTAGTGCCCTTTTCGCATGAGACAGTCAGATTGGCATGCGCAGCATTCACAGCTGTGTCACCCACAACTCGATTCGTCGTCCCGACGAACAAGATGCCAGAATTTCGTCCACAAAGCTTTTGTAGCGTGGCATCTGCGCTAGATAGATAGATTTAAACATACCTTGTTCTATCATCGGCATGGAATCAGTGAATTGCCCATCGCTACTTTGCCAACTTGACAGCACGTTGTGCTTCTGGAGTGAAGTCCAAGGTCCTACGTGCACAGTAACAAAAAATATTTTGATAATTCCACTTATTCGCTGTTACCATTTTGAAATAATTGTATGATACTGTTGCCGGCAATGGCGGTACGTTGCGGTGCATCCACCTGCCAAACTTCGTCTTCTTATGGTGTTTTACAAACTGTTGGGAGGCACTAACTGTTCTAAAGCTTCAAACGGATGAAAACCCGCTGCGTAAGTCCTAACAACTATCGTTTCATGTGACTGCGACCACGGAGTCGTACAAATTAGTGGGTAGAAGTAATGGTCTACAATGTTACAGCCGGCGATGAATCTACATTTTCTCAAGCCTACGATTTGAAGTTCATCAGGTCAATAAGAAGGGCTTTTATTCAGCCTTACTGACTTGCTTCGCCATCTCCAGCTGACATCAGCGTGGGGTGCGTGACCCCACAACTCAGTTCATTGCATTCTAGTGACCAGACAGCTGTTGGCAACGGAAATGAACCCATGCATGTGTGAACCATATCCGTTTGGCCGACACGGAAACTTGATTCTGAATTCCGGTGATTGTTCGACCAATTACGGTTGCCAGAAAATCCAAAGCTTAAAGAATTTCAACAGGCCTGCATGAATGGAGCGGTAATTAACATGTGTTAAAATCACCCCACTCACCTGCTTGTAAACAACCAGGACATGCGGTTGCAACGGATGGCTGACTGGAAGTCGTGTCTTCAAATAATCCACTTTCTGTGCAGGGGGAGGAACAAGCAAGGATTGATCGCTGCAGTTCGACTTGTATCAACATTGGTACACAATGAGACCAGTCACTGATAAATAAGCGGCAGAGTGCAATGACGGTGGGGAAGTGAGTCTAGCGTAAAAACAGCGACAAGCCTGGAAAACGAAAGTACGCAATATGTGAGCAAAAATGGTCAAAGTCCTGACTAATGGAGAGCGCCAAGAGGCGGATGAAGTGGATTTAGGGGTTGATGTGTTGCATCAGATCAACCTATGGACTCAATTTGTCGGAAACAAACGAATAAGTGCGGAGGCAATACGTAGTCACTGGCCTAATGTAGACCTGAACCGAGTTGGAGATTAATGTAAAGGGTAGACTATTAATTAAGACTCATGTAGTATGCGAGCAAAGTGTTTCGTGTACAGCCCCCCCCCCAAGTTGTCAAACACTTTAGTGTGTGGTGATACATGATGAGAAATAGATTACGCGTGTGATAGAATGAAGACGCGTACTCGGCCCATGGTCCGGGTCAGAGACATTGGTATGTCCATCAGACATGGGCCAGTGATACAAGGAAGACATTAAAATTGAGAACCCGAGGTGCCTAAACGTTTTTGACCATGGATGCATGTGAAGCATTGTTGTTGTTGGAGGGCATCGTGTCCGAAACAAGTATGCGGGCAGGTGACTGACATGATGAAGGTAGTACTACAGAGCAAAAAAAGCGCTGAAAGAGTTGCGTCGGCACTGGCAAAGCTGCTTGGTTTTGTATGGCATACCGTAATCTATATTTAACAGTCGTTTGTTCTCTGAGCTTGGCAATTGTTTTGAAAACATTTCGTCCCCAGTCGATGTGGCATCGACAGTGAGTTAGTTCGTAGCATAGTGTAGTGTAGCGATGCGTAAGTGCGAATAGGGCAGTTGCGCGCGTGCGTCTTTCTAAGTCATCGTCATCGGTGGTTTGGGCATGTGGCCATTGAAAATGGCCACTTCGACCCAAGCCAGTGACCATGGACCGTTTGTCTCCGCAACTGAGAATGCTGCATGAGCTGTTTATATGGTGTCCCTTTTCATTAAAGTCATTAGATGGGGCCTCGAAATGGTCCACACTAATGGTTAGAGATCCTATCAGACATGACGCAGTCACGCAGTGTGTGGCACACCCGAATTCGGTTTCTTGCATCTGGTTGTTAATTTTCGTTCCCTTCTGACTAACTTAACGCACCTCCTTCTTGCTTCCATTTTCTTTACATTCTATTTGCATTCAACCCACTATCTTGACGTTGTTATATTTACGATGCGAGTCATGGTAACTGCATCCAACGTACCTCGGTGCTCGGATTATAGCTGTTCAACTGAGCTTAACTGAACAGTAATCAATTTGGTTCCTATACACTGCAGCAAATCGGATGAATTCTGCGAATTCTTCCACACTGGAAATGCAATACAACACTACTCGGGGACTAAGTAACTATAATTATCAAAGGAGTGTGGTCGGGTATAGACTCCGGGAGGAACTCAGGCGCTTAAGTTCCGTATCCAACAGGCTCAAAGGCAACAGTTGATGGCATTGAGTAGCCTAGTAACATGCTAAATCTTCGATGATGTGAATTATAACAAATGGATTTGTTGGGATAGAACTCAGATATTGGTGCAGGGTTTTAGAAGTCAACCAGTGTTCTTCACTGAGTTTCAAAAATGAGCTAAACGGTGAAAATCAGGCTGATGCCCACCATCAGATAGCCGCCTCCAGAATGGCAAGACGTGGCAACGGTTGACGAGAATAGATGAAATAGCTGAATTTAAATTACCCTGTGGAAAAGTAGTCCTTTCTTGCTATTTTGAAACTCGTGAGAGGAAAGCCTTGTATGAAATTGGTAAAATAACGCCTGTCCACCGAACTCTCTGAGCTTGGTGTTGCCTATGAAGCCCCTGTCACGTAGGCACGTTGGGAATGCACAACGTAAGCATGAAACTCCATTTCGAATTTGAGGCTCTACATCATAGTTTTTCATTCGACTACAGTCTAGTGGAACTCATATTGCAGTGGGAAGTTGCTTGGTCAAGAATAACCACCCGCTCGAGGCGCTGTTGCAAACCATTGCCAAGTATAGAGCCGGCGCGACATCACTCTTGCCCTGAAGGGTAGAGCGTATAATGCAGCGGTACGTTCGACCCTACTGTACGGTTGTGAAACCTGGTCCCTTAGATCAGCTGACATAAAGAGGCTAGTTACGTTCGACCACCGGTGCCTTCGCAGTTTGGCTCACATGTGGTGGGTACACCGAGTGAAGAACGAGCGTGTTCGACACTTTGTCTACGACACAAGAAAGGGAAAGGAACCGCTCAGCACCGTTATTTCACCCAGCAGGCTCCGATGGCTTGACCACCTTTTACGCATATCAACACACCGACTCCCGCGACGTGCGTTGTCTGCGCGCTGGGTGTGGATGGAAGAAGAAGAGAAGTGGCCAAGCGATGACTTGGTCGAGAGGAATGAATGCCTTCACTTTGAAGCTGGCCTCGGTTGCGGCGTCTCGGCTCCCAAGTTTGGGTCCGAAACGTTATGAAGACGTCTGGCTGGATACACTTGCTAACATGGCTAAAAGCCGGCCTCAATGGCGTACGCGTTGTAAGTTTCTTTTTCACAACTCATTCCCCTTAGCCTCCCTTGCTTAACCAAATATAATTTTGCATAATAATTATTTTTGCTGCATCGTAGCCCGCTGGTAGCTTTCTGGAACGATGCCCATCCCTTACTTGTAGCTCAGCTGGCATGCATCTGTTGCATTTTTTTCTTTTATGTATTTCAGCACGGCAGCTGAGGTGTTTCCCACCCCTAGCTAACGTGTATAATGAGGAGAGCATGATGAATGATGATCCGCCCCAAGCATGAATACAGCTTCTGGAAAAAGATAAGAACAGCCATTATTATTAAATGCGCTCTTAGCAGCGAATGACCATCGGACAAAACATAGAAGACTGCTACAAATTATGATAACTACAATTGAAATGTTTTTGTACAAAACGCGCTGAGTAATCAAACTCACAGGATGTGAATAACGCGTGTCAGTGATGCCATTTAGACAATAAAACACCTGGAAGCTCAGGAAGAACGTGAATAAGAGCGCTTTAAACCAGGGATTAGCCGCAATTTTCCACAAATAGTGCAAAGATAGAGATTAACATGCAATGCTTAAGCACCACTGTTTGTGGCAGCAGCTTGGCTTTATGTCATAATGTTAGCAGCGCTAAGCAAGCAGACCCGGATGACAGGGACGGTCATAAAAATTAAAGGCGCCTAAAATAGCGCTGACTTACGAACTAGATGAAGGATGAAGATTCTGACTGGAGCAGTGATTCAGTCGCATGATAAAACAGCCCATCGCCCAAATAATGCAAGAAAAGACAATAGAATAGTCACGTTCAGTTTCCTACCCAGATAATTTCCCTCAATTTCTCCTCCTCATCAGCTAGCTCCACACTTTTTTGATTGAGTACAAAATATGCCCGATGAAGACTCGCGATCGGTTTTCCAGCGATCCACAACGATCGAGGAACTTCGATAAGGCCATATCCCAAAAATAGAACCACGAGAAACAGACCCCAAGTATTGGCGGCGGTAATCAGTAGGACTTTTAGGTAGCTCCTGATAAGAAGTACAGAGCAACGAAGGAAATATGACACGGAGTCAAATCCATCTGGATATGTGTTAAAAAGAAGGAATAAATATAAGGGTAGCAACATTAGTCGTAATCATCATCAAAAGCAGTACGCCGGTACGAAATACCGACGCTTCGCTGCCGCGCCACCGCCAACAGTCGCACATAATCTAAGGATACTGCGATGGTCGCCCGTTCCCTACGCAGGCTCGAACACGCACCCTCAGATTACAAGGCAGGTTTGTGATCCTTAAGAGTACGGGCCGGAAAGGAAACGAAGGTGAATCCTTCCAGGGACTGATGTGCTGGTCATAACATTTCGTACCAAACTGCAACGCTAATAGTAATCCAAGTGCAAAAGCACAGCTAATTCTTCACTAAAGAGGTCAAACATCAGAGTCAAAAGGAAGTAAGCCATGAGATTAATTAAAGAGGGAGAACTACGAACGGCTAGCGAAAACAAGGATCAGTAAATTTAAAAAGCTCAAACTACCACGCATATCATCATCATCATTGTCAATACACGTTAGTTTAGAGTGGGAAACACACATCAGCTAATGTGCCGCAAGCAATATGATGTTAAATATTTTATTATGTGTTCTGCATGATATCGGAATTGAAGGGGGAATCTAAAGGGGCGGAGGAAGGACAAATAAACTCACAACACAAGTGTCGTTGCGGCCGGCTCTTCGCTGTATCAGCAAGCGTGTCCAACCAAACATGTTCATCGCTCTTAGGACCCCAGAAAGGCAGTCGGGATGCACCAACCGACAGCAGCTTCGAAGTGAGGGTTTTCATTTCTCTCGAGTAAGTCATCGCTTGGTCTCCCCTCCTTCTCTCTGAACCGCACATCTGCGCACAAACAATGCACGTCGCGGGAGTCTGTAAGCTGGCATGCGCAACAGGTGGTCAAACCATCGGAGCCTGGTGCATGATATACCGGTGCTGAGCGGTCCACTCGATCTTTCTGCACCAAATACGCGAAGCCGAACACGCTCAGTGTTCACGCGGTGCTCCTACAGACATGAGCTAAGCTGCGAAGGCGGCGATGATCGAATGTGACGATCCTCTTTATGTCTGTCGACCTAATGAGCCAGATTTCACAAGCGTATAAGAGAGTTGAACGGACGGCTGCGTAACAAACTTTGCCCTTCAGGGAGACAGTAATGTCGCGTCTGCGCCACAGATGGCGCAGATTGGGAAGAACATCTCGAGCTTTTGCTATACGGTTCATAAACTCAGCTTCGATCCCATGGGCGCTAATATAGCTGCCTAGGTACTTGAAGTCTCGAATGACTTCCAGCTGATCACCAATACGACTACAAGCAATCATACGGGGGAAATAATCTGACCCACAGCGGGTCGCAGTGGCAAACACGCTGGGTAAATTTGGTAAATAACAAAATACGGCGGTTCGTGAAGACAAAGGAATGCACTTACAGTAAAGTACTTCGATAAGAAAGATCTTTGGATCAGATAAGTGTAATCAATCATCTCGCAGAGTCCTCTAACTAAATCCGAATATCGCGGTTCATCATAGTAAGGTAATGTGGCGCAAGACCACTGGAACAAGATAGTAGGAAATGCACCATCGCAAATTATCCTTGGAACCGATCGAGAATTCATGGTTTCAGCAGGGTTTGAAAACAACCGGTTAGTGTACTATGGAGCTAGTACGTTCAATTTTCAGCTGCTTTTGCAGGTAGTTAATAGAATCACGGTGCAAATGCTTATACAGGGTGCCCATAAGTGTGAACACAGGGTAAGGGGATAATTTGCATTAAATTAAAATGAAATGCAAAATAAAAAGAACTTTTGTTTCCGCACATTAAACATTGGTGCTGTCGAAGGAGAGAAGAGTTGGGCTGGCACTTCTCAGTGGACGTGAGGGATGGTCATATCGAAAGATCGCAGATGAATTTAATGTACATCATTCGAAGAGAAGTTAAATTGGTTTTTCGACGGTGGCGAAGGTGATTAGGCAATTTAAGCCGGCAAGCCGCGCTTTGGGTGACCAAGTGTATCAGTCAAAACGAAAGACAGTTGTGTTTAAAATGTGTGCAACTCCAAGAAAATCAATCCGTATAACATCTATGAAGCTAGGAATTCCGAAATAACGAAAGTTTTGTTGATTATTTCAAACAATGAGAGCCCAAAAATTTATGGTTTTGGGTGAAAAATTCATGTTCTTGCACTCCTTTTCGATGATCACGTGACTGGGAACACTTGTCTTGCTGTACTGAAAGACCAGTTAATGCCACAACTTGAAAGTCTTAGTGAAGGACTACATCAGTAATTCCGACAGGATGACGCTCCTGCTCATGTTAGCGAGATGGTAAGAGATTGGTTGAATGACAATTTCTCTAGTTGGCTTGGGAGACGTGACCATGTGGAGTGACTTTCTAGCTCAGTACTCTTGATTTTTTTCTCTGGGAAATGCTAAGGGAGAATGTGTACTCACCAAAAACCACAGATCCTATCCCTTGACCCGACAAATAAGGGATGAAAGTAACAAAATTGACGGTAATGGAGATTTATTGCATTAAATTCCCAAAAATTGCGCGAAATGCATCATTTGTAAAGCAAATGATGAAAAGCGCATTGAAGACGTTAGTTGAACAAAAGGTTGTGCTTTTACCGATATGTCCAAACTTTACGGACATCTTGCATGTACAAAGTGATAAGCCCGGGGCTGAAAATACAGACAAACAAGCCTAGTTATGGATCTGGTACGAATCCTGACATTTAAGCCTCGATCGCATGACGAGAATAATGAGAGGAGGTTTACTTTTAAAGGGAAATTCTCTGCCAAAACAGTGAACTACGAGGCAATGCATACAATTAGGAAATTGTAAACAATCTTCCCCTAGTACCTACCTAAAAAGCAATGTGTTGTAAAAATGTGATTTTGAGTACGCCAAAAAGGCCGTCCAAAGCAAGTCGTTTAAAAATGATGCGTCTAAAAGTAACGACAGGTCATGACAAAATAGCACACTTATCATTAACCACTGGGGTTAGCGTGTGTCGAAGAAGACTCAGCGGCTTAAGGATGGAGGCTTCCGCTGACATTCCATCGTCATGCGTTCGAGTTGCAGCTCTCCTATCCCTACCTAATGAGTGCAAACAAGTAACAAAAAGTTGTGCAATGGTGCCACAAGCGAACGAGCGAGTTCGTGCGATCTCTAATTATGATTTAACACATAGACTATCTGTAGTATATAAGGAATCAGACACAACGTAGGACAGTTGAGTGAGAAGGCAAATGGCCCGTAGACTAGACTTTAGTCATCTGATAGAATACGAGTATGGGCTAAAAACGAGAAGATGCACGTGATTAATACTACGAAAAATAATGAAACATGGTACGAGAAATGCAACATACTACATTTCTCCCCCGCCAATAAATGCTTGTAATGCCATGAGTTGGGACAGAATGTCTATGTCTCTGTTAGGTAGACAGTAAGGTCGTGTGCGCTGTTGCTGGCGGTATAATTTCTCAAGAATGTCTGACAACGGTAAATGTGTACTATTTGGTTCATCTGGCTCAGTAAGTTCAACATGGAGTGGCTCTACTGTAGTAACAGTAGTCGAACTCCGCTGGGAAGTTTCAGGGGCTATGAGTTCTGGTACATCAGATAGTGGACGAAGATAGTGACGAAGAGAGACCGTTTCCTCGACGCCATTTGGCAATCGCACGTGTGCGTACGCCGGATTACATTCCAGCAGTTCCACTTCGCCTACCAAGGGGTCATACTTGGAAGTTCGATTGTTCCGCTTTAGCAAGACTGACCCAGGGGAAAGAAGCCAGCGAGGCAAAGATACTCCAGTAGTTGACTTTCTGTTATGCATAAACATCCTTTCGTGGGGTGTAGCATTTGTGGCCGTGCAGAGCAGTGATCTGATAGAATGTAATGCTTCGGGTAAAACGGACTCCCACTGCCGAAAATCTAGATCTTTGGAACGTAGTGCTAAGGTTATGGACTTCTATAATGTCCATAAAGTAACCTGTCCGTTTGCATGGGGATTGTACGGGGTAGTCCGGCTAGTCGCAACGCCTTGACCGTGCAGAAAACTTTGCAGTTCGGTGGACATAAACGAAGAGCCTCTATCGGTGTGAATGTAGGATGGCATACCAAAAATAGAAAACAGGTTAACGAGGCAAGATATAACAGTCGAGGCTGACATATCGGAGCACGGATAAGCAAAAGGGAACCGTGAGAATTCATCAATCATAGTCAGTAAATACTTGTTACGGGTGGAGGATGGTAGAGGCTCCTTGAAATCAACAATGTCTCTCAAATGACTGCATGGGAGTGAGTTGCGGGTTGGAAAAATCGAGGTTTTAGTTCAGTACAGGTGCGGCATTGCTGCACGACAGCAGGGATTTCTTCAACGGAGAACGGTAAATTTTTCGTACGGATAAAATGTATCATCCGAATCAATCCAGGGTGGCATAACGTTGTGTGAAGTTGTTCGAGATGGGGAGTGTTCAGCACGCATATACAAAAGCCGCGTGATAGTGCGTCGGCCACTTGTTTTTATCTTCGCAAGGTCTATTACTACATCGTAGTTGTATGAGGACAACTCTATGCGCCATTGTAAAATTTTGTCATTCGTGTTCTTCCCTTTGTGCTGGGGGTCAAACATGAACGAAACCGAGCGTTGATCTGTGATAAGCTTGAAATGAGTGGCAAGAAGATATTGTTTCCATCTCCTAGTGGCTTCCACGATAGCATAGGCCTCTTTCTCGGCGATCGAATGGTGTCGCTCGCTGCCAGCCAAGGTACGGGGGGAAAAGGCCACCGGTTGGCCATTTTGGTTGAGGGTGGAGGCGATGGTGACGTCCGACGCATCCGTTTGGAGGACATGTGGTTCTTTTGGATCAATTGTAACCTCCCCTGCATCGATTAACTCCTTCAGACTTTCGAATGTAGTAACCACTACGTCCGGAGGTGGGAAAGATCTGGTATGAGTCAACGAATAAATT